CAAATAATAAAATAATAATGTTTTATAAAAACAGCACTATAAAACGAAGTGTGTAATTATAAATTCATTTAGAATTAATGCATTCTTTATAAACAAAATATTGTCAAGAAAAACTTATCTTAAAGAATATAATAATAAATTAGTAGTATTGGCCAACTAAAATTATCTTTTTAACCACTGTGGGTCAATCGAATAGGCACTTGACAATCGAATACATATAGATACTCATTTTGGTGTAAATTATAAACACTATTTTCGGCTAACTTATAGTGGTGCAAATTACATATTTTTATTTTGGTTCAGATTACAAACTCCCATTTCGTCAATCGTTCCATAATGATACAAATTGAATAACACTATACACTCCATCTACAGTACTGGCACACCTGTCAAAAATATCAATTTTTATCTTTTCGATTGGATTTCCAGTCAAGGGAACACATATTTAGAGAAAAATGTAATTGTCACTTTTTGAAATTTTCAAACTAACAACTTTGTGTTAGACATTGAAATTAAAAAATAATAAAATAAAATATTAACAAAAATATTAGTAATGGAAAAACAGTGTGAGACATCCTGCACATGCCGGGTAATATAAACCGTGAAACAGGACAAGTACAATATAAACTAAACGAAATACGGTCGAGATCCATCATCACTCTGGGCGGGTAAACTCACGAAATTCATGTGGAACGAAACGCACAATCTGTATAGTTCGATATAAATATTATAATATTATAGTCTCTCATTGCAACAGCGCGCGGGGGAGGCGAAATGGGTGAAATTTAATAACCGGATGAAGGATACAGAACTTCATTCGAGCAAATTACGCACAATATTGTGAAACAATAACATTGTATATTATTATAACAAAAACTTATGTAGTTATGTCTCTGAGAAAAATATTCAACGCCACAATGATGTTCTGCAGTTTTAACGTGTTTTCGATTAATTCACTCTCCCTCAAGTGTGGGCTCTGGGAGTAAGGATGGACCAGTGGCAAATCCGAAGGAGGGGGCGATATAGGCGATCGCCTCCCCCGTTCACTCTCCAATATACTCTCAGTTTGATTAGCTTACTCTAGCTCTCAACATTGAGCTCATCATAAATACGTTTATTATACGCACTTTCAAAATCACCCCCTCCCCCTCGGTTATCTTGTCCTGTATCCACCCTTAGGGTGGACAATAGGGCGATTTCTCCACCGTTCGCTCTCCAATATACTGTTAGCCCAAAGTAGCCCTGTTAATGGATTTGGCTAAGTTGTCCAATGAACTTAGTTAATGAGATTTTCTAAAATCAAATAGGTCAAAATGAGCCGGACACGAAGAAGAACAAAGGGGAAGTTACTATTTTACTAAAACGCAGTTTTACTAGAAAACTAAATAAAAAAACCTGTCTGATAGGACCATTTCAACGTTGAATAAATCATGTGACAAGCTATTTAAAACCATGAAGGAAAAATAGGAAAGTTTGAAGACATTTGATAGAAGCTGCAAAAGATTGAAACTAACTGTAAAGCAAAAAGTAATAATTATTATTCCTTAGTTCTTTTTCAGATTTGTCAATAAAATTCTGATCTCTTCTAGTATAGTTATCTTCTAGATAACTCCTCTATTTTACATAATAACATAATCACTATCGAATAAATTATTCGTTTTATAGAAAGAAAAATTCAAATAATAAACTTAACGATTGATTTATGGCACGACTAGCGTAAATTGGCGAAATTACTGAATCCGTCTCGTTTCAGATACAGATTAAATGGCGGATCCTGTAAGGGGAGGGCACAGGGGCACGTGCCCCCTGCAAATTCAGCCTCCATTATTATTTATCATTTGAATTTTCTTTAACATTCTACATCTGTCGTAACCGTTGTCTTGGTCTGTTATAGGGTTTAGGAGTAAATTAGTTATCTGCTCAATTAGTCCTTCTGGATTTGTATTCTCCATACAGTCCCTGTCCAATTTATTCCCATTTTATTTAAGCTTCCATAACCTGACCTCATACTAGCTTTATCTGTTATTATATAGACTGCATAAGTCTTTGTTTCTTCTTATTTCATGTTCGCTCTCATGGTTTCATTTCTAACCATGAATGTTTCTCAACATTTTTCTTTCAAATACTTCTAGTTTTCTTTCATACGATTCTGTAGTGACCGAAATGCATCAACATGAATAAACAGCCATTGGTTCGATTAATGCCGTATGCAGGTAATATCTAACCAAATTTGAATTGTTCATATTACTTACCACTTCACTATAAACTGAAGAGTATAAACATGCTACATATAAACGTTGACATAATATGTAATACCAATAAAAAATTTCTAAACAACAAAATATAACGAATTAATTAATTAATTTTCATTAAACATACAATCCTCTAAAGGTCTATAGAATCAAGGCTAAATATATCATTACATAATTACTATACAGGTTTTATACTATCTAAGACTTCCTAAGTCAATACAGTTGTTGAATATATGATATTGTTTTTATTTTTCATCCTATCTCTCAGCTTCTATATTGTTTTTAGTTAAACCATAGAAAATAAAAGACCATACTTTAACAAAAAGTTTTCAAAAAATCTATTTTCAAAATGGCTATTTTGAATTTTTTAAAAAAAATTACAGTAAAATTCAAAATTTTTTATTCTAAGTTCCATTTCCCTTAAAAAAAATATGCATATATAAACTGTAGCGCTAAGGCATACTAATTATTTAAAAAAAAAATTATATCAAAAATATTGATTAGAACAAAAGTTATTGAATTTGTCGAATCCTCGTAGGAAACCCTATATATTAACTTGCTTGCGAATAAGAAAGATTCTTTCCAAACTTATAATCGATTTTGGACACACTTCCATCAGTCCGATAAACACACAGTTTTGCATGTACTTATGTTTTTGATAGCAATATTAGAATCAATAATCGTATTTTCACCATCCTTGACACCTCGAACTGTGTTCACCCTACAAGGCTTTTGGGATAACTATGTCAAAATATCGAAAAATACCTCATACAACTTTAACTTGTGTATCCTCCATCATGAATAAGATTTTTCATTTTTCCGGAGGTGGTAAAAGAAAATGATTTGTCATCTTGTATTACAAAAAATTATGAAATTCAAAAAAGAAGAGAATGCTTAACCGTGATTGTGAAATTCACTAAAGATAAAAATAATAACAGAACGTGTAAATACAAATATGATACATTTTAAATGATATCTATAGGATACATTTTACACTGCGGTATTGAAAAAGCAGTTTTTAAATTTAAAATAATACCGATACTAACTCGTTGGTTACGTCACTCAGTCACTACAGGCAATGGGAAGACTTTTATTTAAACGCCAAAAGAGAAATCATTAATTCAAAATATTTGGAGGATTTGAATATTACGTGTCACAAACAAGTAAAAATAATTCAAAATAATTAAATATTCAGAGAAAAAAAAAAGAATAAATTCAAAAAAACCTGTGACAAAATTATATTGGTTAACGGGTCGAAAATACGACGGAATTTAAGATAATAACATTACTACGTGTTATTTATTCATACAGGTAGGTATTTAATGTTATCCGCCGCTTTAAATTACACGATTACGTACTGAAGGTTCAAAATATCAGTGTAAAACAAATAGACGAGATTTACAACAGAATAGATGTTTTTTACGAGCGTAATCTAAGTAAGGCCGTATCTGGAGAGAATTAACCCGATTTTCGTGCAAAAAGATTGTTTATTTTTTATTTTTTTTTTTTTTTCTATAAAAACGTCCACGACTATAGTTCCGTGTCTTACAGGAATACGAACAGGAATAATCATTCATAACAAGAAATAATATTCGAATAGATAACTACACGCGTAAGTTTTAAAAAAAAACCGTTAGCATCATTCGTCGCGTACACGTAACGTCATATTGGATTTAATGTGTAAACCTATTGTGTAGAGTATAAAATTTCGCCCTGCCTCCCCTCCCCCCTTCCACCATTAGTAAACGACGGAGATACGCCAATGAGTATCGTAAACACGCGCGACGACGACGACACACGGCCGCCGCCGTACCGTCGGATAAAATATTTTTATTTTTTTTATTTAGCGGAGATCAGTGGACACCGGACGGCGGCATGCGCGACGTGAAGATCGTGCAGATGACCTCGCGGTGCCGAAACTTCCAAAGTGCCACACTCCGTATACACATATACGGATATATTAGCCGTGTGGTATTGTAAATCGTAAAATCGCGTGCGCGGGGGTTTTTTCCGCCGTAATTCACCTCCGGTCCGGCGGCGTGCCGTCCGATACTCGCCGACTGCGCGTTTTCACTGTCGTCGACCTCGCCTTGAAGCGACAAATCGGTTGCGCACGCACGTACCCACGGTATGGTGAACGCAGTGGTCGGGTGTCGCGTCCGCGAGCCGATTTATGCATTTTTTCGAGCGCGACGGGGCGGGTAGGAGTTGGCGCGAAGTCCGAATTATAACGCGGTACACTGCGAAAACTTCCCCGGAGAAACGGGGGGGGAAAAAAAAAATTTCGAAACCGGCGGGCGTATAGAGCACCTACGACGCGGGTTTTTTTTTTTTTTTCCGCGTCCTCGGACCGACGACGCGAGACCATAAAATATGACTACTACTACTATAACTACTACTACCACTACTACTGCGACCGCCCGATCTTAATATATTACACTATATACGTTATTACACGGCTGCTGCTGCTGCTGATGCTGATGTTGCTATACGATCGGCTGGAAGAATGTTGTTCGGAGCATCTCGCGCGCGCGTTATGCAACTTTTGATGCGATGTTACGATTATACGTGTAAGCGGTATTAGTGTTAGTAGTAGTAGTTGTAGTAGTAGTAGTAGTAGTAGTAGTAGTAGTAGTAGTAGTAGTAGTTATAATTTACTCACTCCTCCTCGCCGTCGCCGAAGCCCGAGACACGATCGTCGCGGCGACGATAATACCGCGGGCCCGGCCGGGTCAGTGCGTTTTTGTCGCTCGAACCGATCCCGCGGACCGTATTTCTGTTATGTTTCGCGCACTCGTCGTCGTCTCGGCGATCGCGGCCACGTCGGCCATTTATGCAGGTCAGTACACGCACACATACACATATACAAAAGCCGCACACACATACGCGAGCCGCATGCCCGCGGAAACCGAACGCCCGGGAAATGTCCGCGCGCGTTCCGTCCGCGATTTCGCCGCCCGCGGCCGTTGTCCGCGCGCGAAAGGTTTGGTGGTACGCGACTCCCGTCGCTCCCGGGCCCGTATTCCCCGTCCCCGCTTTTGAAACGGGCCGCAGACGCATGTGCGGAATTCTCCGGTCGGCCGGCGCGCACGGCGTTATTCGTTTTAAGCAGGCGCCTATCGTAAGGCGTCCGGACGGTCCGACGGTGTCCGATAATGGATTACCGCGGCGGCGTCCTTGCAACTACAAACATTGTTGGGTTAAAATTCGACCAAATCCGTTTGCGGTCCCCCGCCCCACGTCCCGTTTTATCTGTGCTTTTCGTTCACTGGCCGTAGTGCGTATTAAATTTGCGCCGTTCAGGACGCCCATAACTTCCGGGTTCGGAAGCGATCGTGATGAAAAACAAAAAACAACGTGTTGATTATCGACACCGCTGGAACAGTATTATCGATATTACGAATTCGCCGCGATTAGCGATCTAAGATCCGTCGCAACTCGTCTCGGGTAGGAAACGTTAACACGCCTCCCGGAATATACTTTCGTCCCGCCGCCGCGGCGTCGGTTAGCGTTTCCGGTATCAAGAGTACGTTGCCGCCACCGGTTTCCGTCATACACACGTATACGACATAGCGGGATGTCGTTCAGCAGGGACAACTTTGCGCTACTAGTTTTAATATTGTATAGTAAATCGACCGGATTTCCGACTCGAATAATTATTATATTCCGTGCGACGTTGGTGCTATTTTTTCGATATTTTAATTTTGAATTGGATTTTTGTTGATAACGCTTATACTCTGCAATAGTGAAACAATGAACGGTACAAAGTTGTCCCTGCTGAACGGAAAATCAGCCGTGTCGCACGTCTGTAAGACGGAGACGGCACGCGCAGGAGTGTATAACGTCTCGTTTTAAAAACCGCGCATTTTATAGCGACGAAAACTCCGCGTCGGGCGACCGGAGAAAATTCGCCGGATCACCGCCCGTGTTCCCCGTTTCACAGAGCTATGGATTAAACGTGCGCGCCACAGTACTCGGACGGGTGCCATGTGTCAATGTGGTGGTCCTCCGCGGGTCTCGTAGACGGGTCCGCCGCAGCGTATTTCATAATGTTATCCTAAATTACCGGCGCCGAATATTTATTATATAATTGCATAATAGACGGTCATTCGCACGTTAAAATAATATATCGCAATCGATCAAATGCAATATTATTCAAAGCCGTTTTGCGAATGCGCGCATAATTTTTACCGCGTTACGTGTATTCCGTCATCGCGCGACATTATGCACATCGTCGTGATAACACAACTATGTTATTTTTCCTTCCTATAACCTCTTGACGTGTATAATAATAACATTGTTGTCGCGGTCGTTCCGAGTTTTGCGCGGAGTGTTGTCCAACGACGCCGACGTAGGTATGAATACGCGCGCGCGCGTATTTTACGATTATCAAGACTTTCACATTATTGTGTACGGCCCGTCGATATGCGCCCGATTCGCATGCGGCGGCGTGCGCGTTAATTTATTTTTATTCCGTCTGCACCGGGGCATTTTTTCGAGGAGGTTTTCAGTGCTGCCATGCGCAAATGGACACACATCGAAACCTATTGGACGCCCCACAGTAGAGTAACATTTTACTGATCGCGTGTCCGGCACTACAGAAAATACAATTGAACTAAATTGTGAAACAAAATTTTAAACATTTTATGTTGCATACATACTCTCATTGGTTAATGGACGAATAAGGTACATAACTGAGGAATGTCCAAAATTCTAGGAGAAGATTTGGTCCATCTCAGCCACGCTCAACCTTTTTTTTCACTTGGGTCGGATACACATTTTTGTTGCGATACGCGGACCGTAACGTAGTACTTGGGCACGACAAGGAGGAAAGGGCGGGGATAATTTGAAACTATTCGGTACAGCATGTAACGCAAAAAGAAACGTTGCGAAGTGGCTGACATATCGGTACTAGAATCAAAAGTCAAACTAAAATATTTGCATACTTTCAAATTATCCGTAATACGGTCTGAAATATGTTTTTTTAATATTTTTCTTTTATATGTCTAACGCTTCTAAGGTTTAACTAAGGGTAGCGTTCTATACGAACATCACAAGGTAACGGGTGATTATCATTATCATTATAATGCGTCTAATAATTGTTATCGCTACACGCTGCATAACCGTTGTACCTATACAACTTGTAGTTACGTCGTGTAATATCGCGGATTAATGACAACAGGTTTTTTATTTTTTTAAGTGTACAGGTACTTCCTAGTAAAAACTATACAATTATATTATATATATATATATATATATATATTATAATTTCTTAATATCGCATATAATAGCGCATTAGGATCTTTTGAAACTGCGGAACATATATCTGCACTTTTTTGTTACTATTAACACTTCAGTACCTAAATAGTACACATATATCGGTAGGATTCGTAGACAATATCACCTAAGAATATAATGATTTACTTTCATATTATTCACTATAATAAACAATAATATTATAGGCTGACATATCCAGTCACGATGAAAGCATTACAATACGATTACAAACGTCAAAGCAATAATAGATATACATTATAAAATATCTTTTTCCGACGAAAGAAAAGATAAATAAACCCTGCCCTGCGCGCGATTTACAAATTATGCGTTAAAAATATAGTGTTTTGGCAATTGTAATTTTATCAATCTCAAAACAATCCAACAATATTAAATTTTGAACAAATTGGGTATTATATCTTTGGCCCCAGGAAATTAAACTACAACGTCGGTCAATTTTAGTCGTATTTTTTTTAGTTTGGTTTTACAATGATGTTTATTTTTATTTTTTTTATGTGAACACTTTTTCTTCCAGAAAGCGTATTCCAATTATCAATTATAGCACCTTTTTTGAAAGGAAATCAGGTGGTACTTTAGATAGGTAATTTTTTTAAATGTTCATAAATATTCGAGATAGTGACGAAAGCCTTGTTATTTAGGTTAAAAAAGATTGAAAAGATTAGAAATAAGGTCGTTATTGGTAACCGTTTTTATTTATTTTTTTATTATTATTAAGTTTTTATTATTTTGATTTTTTTCAAACAATCACTGTTGTCATAGAAACGCACATTATCGTTGTAATCATTTCATCATCGTTTTACCATAATATGGTATATATATGGTTACAAAGCAACGCTATCAGCTGAATTTCACTCAGAATCGTTTTTTCGTTAGAAATGGTTTATCGTTGCTTACATTCCCGTCTGTATCCTACCTTCCCAACTTCTCACCTACAACAGTGGCTGCACCCACGTGCGAGTATGTCCGTATTTTTTTATAATTTTATCTTAAGTAATTTTTTCCCTTTATTTATTGGTTTGAATTGCATATATTTTAATATAATATGTGACACTAAAAATGAAAATATCTCAAGGCACTATTATTTACTTTTTGATGGTTATTTAAAAGTCATATTTAGGCTAGCAATTATAGCAATTTAGCCATTATTGTCATTTTATTGTAATTTTCAAAAATTTAATTTACATGTACTAAAAGCTTTAATAAATTTATTGAAACCTTTCTTTCCTGAAAATATTGCACTTAACAATTTATGTATGTACTTATTGATGACAAATAATTAAAATGAATATTATAGTAAAAATTTGTTCCTGACTGCATTCAAGTATAATAATCGTTATTAGAGTATACAATTATACTTTATAATAATTTGAATAACCATTATGGGTCACGATATTTTATTGTTTGGACAATGGAATTTTTTAAGTACTTTACATTTGATCAATATACGAGTACGTACGCCGCGTAACACATCATCCATTTCGATTAAAATTTGAAATTGTAAGTGTAGTATATATTTGTGGCAAAATGGAACATTTTTATGTTCCGCGTTTGCACTCATCATATACGAAATGTCATTTTATTAAATGATTTACGTGGTTCCGCGTGCAGTGGTGTACATAATGATAGTGGAAAAAAAAATCGTAAATATAAAAAATACCCAACGATTGTAAAAAAAAATATCTTTGTCGATCAATAACTACTAATAAGCCCTTACATGGAAGTAAAAATACAAGAATTATATGTAAGTACCTGGGCATACGTACAATGATCTATGGTTGAAGATTTGAATTTCGCAAAGAAATTGAACATGTAAAGAAATTTCACCGGATCGGTATTTTATCGCTCAACTTTTATGCTCCACTTTATTTGATTGCAAATGTATAATATACACTATACGGAGTACTATATAAAAATATAATTATCACACGAACGTGATCTTCTGGAAGGCCGTATTTAAATCGAATAATCAGTATAATCGTTCGAGGACGAAGTCTTTCGAAATTGTCCCCAAAAGGCTATAATGTAAGATGCTTCTTCGTATAATTTTAAAAAAAAAACTCGATTATAATATTGAAAACATTTCGTGATAACGATTATGTATACCTTGAAACCTTATTTCTAATAAAATCGGTTACCATTTTTTTTTTTTTTTTGCTCTTTTACGCAGTTGACACGTTTAAATGCGTTTAAACAAATCAATGTGTGTTGTGTGTGTGTGCGATTCTCAATCTAGTGTGTTGCATTTAGAGATCAAAAAATATGATGATCAGTTGACATGTCAAAAATTAGGGTCCGATACATATATATTTAGAACGTAATATCCATTATGTATTCCGAAAAACATTAGGAACAAAAAAGCTGCATGGTAAAGCTGTTGATGAGTAAAAAATTAAAATCAAAAAAATCACAAAAAAAAACACACAAATTATAGTAAAACACGTTCAGAATCTAAGACGATTTCTTTATACACTAACTAAACAAACATTTTTTTTTTTTTTAGTACTTTTATTCTATAGATTTTAACTTCTGGACGTATAATACTCGACATTTTAACCGGGAACCGAAAATATTCATACAGTAGTGGATGAACGGAGTCGTGTGCACCTTTAACATGAATGTTGGTATATTATAATACAGATTTCTAGGTTACTTGGATGACAGTTGACACAGATAAAATAAAAAAATAAACAGTTATTATAAGTTAATTTGACTGTCACTATGGCAATGAAGTACCTTTTTCAACGATAAATTGCCAGGCAACGAAACGGTAAATTCCGTAATAGGAGCGTGGGTGGAACCGAAAGCAGACATGTATTGTATGAACGACTATATGAACGTGGTTTAAACAGTCTTGTCAGTTTCCAGTGGTGTAGCCAGAAAAATGATTCGGGGAGAGGGGGAGGGGTTAATTTAACAATTCTATGATTCACTTGAAAAAATTAATATTCCAAATATAGGGCGGTTACCCGAAAACTTTCGGAGACACTTTTTTGGGGCGGGAGGTTAACTTTAAACCACACCCTTGGCTATAGGCCACTGCTTGAATCCAAACGAAATGACCGTTGCCTAATTGGATATAAAATAAACGAAAACACAGAAATTGGACAAGCTAGATAATGAAAACGATTATTGTTGAATCAATAAAAGAAAAAAAAAAAGAAAAGCTTTTGGCCGCTTTCCGCTATTGCTCGTCGCGACCCGACCAACGGTAATCGGCACGCAAACGGTCCGTTCTGGAACCGCAACAACGTGTGCGCTCGGCGCTCGCGAACGCATCGCCTATTTGTCCTGCACACGACCGCGAGAACGCGCGAATAAATAACACGGCGGCGACGCGGTCGTTATAATAATGTTAATACGAGAATAAAAAAATAAAAAACCGCGGAGCAGATGAACCGCCTCGTCGTGATCACCTCGGGCCGAAATCCCGACCCGAGACACCGACCTCCGACACTCGTGCCGCTCCGTCGCCGCCGCCCTCCAATCGAAAGTCTCCCGCCGGTGAACCGTCTCATCCGCCGCGGAATCCCAAACGGCACCGTTACGCAACGCGTACAATATAATAATAATAACAACATTATAATGTAGTTATATGCAGTTCTCGCGCGACCTGTTTCCGCCGGCTTAAACGATTTGATTTTTTTTTTTTTTTTTTCTGCCTCGTATTATTATTATTATTTTCGTCCGGTCCAGCGCAGAGGCGAACCCCCGAATCGGTCGACGCGATAGTGCGCATCGCCCGAACGCGCGCATATTGCACGTCGCGTGTTACCATCACACGAGCCCCGCACTTGTCGCTCCTTTGACTCGTCTGTGGCGTGCGCAACGTTATGCGTGTTGCGATACAGCCCGAACACGCAAAGGACACTGGATCTGCGACCGGCCGTACACGGGTACGACGGCTACGACTCCAACCGCAACTATACGACAACCGAGATTGCGTTTTACATTTTTTTTTTTTTTGTCGTTTTAGAATCGCAGACACGGCGGACACCGCGCGCGATTGCGCGTAGCAAACGGTCCGTTACAATATGCGATCGCCGGAACCAAATTCAATAACTTAATGTGCCACGTTATACGCATGAATGTTATTCTTTTGGAAACTAAACCGGTTCGAAGATAACAAAAAAACGATTAATCGTGAATTCAATTGTCCTAAACACAATATTTATGAAAATTTAATACCAAATTACGTTCAAGCGAGTGCACCTGGATGTTTTTATAAATGTAATTGAGACGGCCTCGAATTTTTATGTGCATACCGCTGTATTTGTACAAAGACTTCAAAAGGCATTCGGTTAACTTTCCAGGCTAATAATGTTTTTGGTATTTACTCACATTATATTACCATTAACCACGGAGTAATGGATTAAGCTAAATGATTATAATATGGAATTAAAGAAACAACTAGTTTTTAGTATCGTTATTCGTTTCGTTCATACTATGTAATTATTTTGTAACAATAATCGTAAAACGGACGTGTTTTTATTTCAAACACGTCCGAAACTACCGTACGTCCATATTATATATTTCTATCTCGTAATTAATTAGTGAAATAGCCAATAAATATCTATAAATTTATTATATTTTATCTATGAATCAAAATTTATAGGTTTAAGTATTAAGTACACCCGCATTATGCCAAGGCCATTAAATTGTTTTTAAATATTAAACTAACCGCACAGTTCAATTGATACGAATTAGATTACCCTGTATAATTTTGTAATATTATCTATTATCTCGAAAAAAACGCTACATCAACATCTACCTTTTTTTTAAACATTTAATGTAATAAAAACCTTTTCCGGCTGAAATATTAATGTAAAACCAATTATCTAATACCGAATTAAACTATATAATATTAATGTTTTATACAATTTAACACGAATAAAAAATTATTCTCTTTTCATTCGATAATAATACATTATTTTATTTTTAACCAAAAACGTGTTGTCACGAAAATTCTGGGATTTTAGATTTTATCAATATTACCTCGAGTAATCACTAGCATATGATTTACGAGTTTCAATAATATAAATCTACTAATGTTCAAACACCACATACATACACATACATAAAATTACATACATCAATTGTATAAGTATTCACAATTCCGATACATTATTATTGTGCTAAATATTCCTTCCATAGAGGTAATGTAGGTATGTATATTGTATAGAGCATACAAATGTTCAATAATTTTTATTTTAAATCCTCTTCTCATCACCAATAACATTAAATTTACATGTAAAGTTTTTGCAAGTAAATGCTATGTATGTTGTTTTTATGGTTATCAAAATCTCAATATATAACTGATACTGATGAAACATATTTTATTCAATTCCTTATATCTATGTTGAGCTTTTTATCATTGAAATCTTTTGTGGTTTCTGGATTTTCCAATTATAAATCTAATGTGTGAAACATTAGGGGTTAAATTACGAGATAAACATATCATAACCTCCCGGTCAGTGACGTATTTACGTGGGAGCCGGGGGCGTCCAGGGGTACTAAATTCCGTCCAAGCCGAACAAAAACTCAAATCAGATGTGTTCCTGCAACTTAGTTAAGTAGTAATAGGTATAGAAACTATACATATTATAGTCGTGTCGTTGTATTTGGTTTCCGAGCTGCAGCTTATTTTAAGTACAACAAAAGCTAAGCACCTTTTAAATAAAGACTTTAACGCACAGAAAAACTGATTTTTGACTAAATTAATGGTTTATAATTAGTTATAATTAGGCAATGAGAATTTATATATATAAGTACATATTAAATATTAAACTTCCTCCGAAAATGTCCAGGTACGTAAATATTCTAGACTTTATCCTTCCCCCTCCAAAAAAAAAAGTTAAAAATACTTAGCTGCTCCCGTATTATCCCATACCCATATACGATAAGCCTGTTAAGTAAAAATAAATAAAAACAAAGTTTGATTACGTTTTATAATATAATAATTGTTTAATACTTTAATTCTTGTTTTAAGAAAACCAATTTGATTTTATTTAAATTTCATTAAAATCGTTTCAGTTCCAATAACTAAAACATCCCCCCGGACTTGGGAGACTTAAACTAAAGGAGACTAATAATATTATTTTAAATAAAAATGAGAAGTTTGTCCCCCTAGGCCTCATCATCCCCTTTAACCACGGGTGATTTGCGTTTTTATTTATAAGATTACTATTTTATATACCTTATATAATATAATAATATATCTATGCATTTTAATATATAAATTTCTGATTTCATCGTGTGACATAAATGATACCCATTAAATGCAAAAATATTTTATTTTAGTATTTTTAAACTATAGTATTGTAACGCACTGTAATGCTAGAACCAAGTAAAATATCGAAATAACAAATAAAACACAACGACATTGCAGAAAAGTTCTACGGCGTTCAGTGATACTAGTCTATTTGTAAAAAAAAAAAGACTGACATACTTCGTACGAAGTGGGCCACTGTTGTAGGTTTAAGTTGGAAAGGTAGGATAATATAAAGGGTAATTTAATATATATCTGTATGCAACGATTAACCATTGCTAACGAAAATTGATTCTGAGAGAAGTTCGGTTACACGTGTTTTAAAAGACTGTAATATTTATGATTTTCGTCAAAATTTGATATTAAAATTCGTATAAAAAAAAACTACATTCAACTCAACTTTTTCTTATTGATCACTTATAATTTCTGTTTGGTCTAACAATTTTATCTACAGAATACCTATACCGAATAAAAATTACGTAAATACTTAAGTTTAAAGTAGGCTCGCAAAATTAAAATGTTTGAATTAAAATAGCTGAAAATTTGCTGAAATGTTTTGAAAATGTTACCACATCTAGAAAAGGCAAATATAATTTTTTTGTCCAAATTTGAAGTCTCTACGAACATTTTGAACTGAATTACAACAAAAAAACAAAATTTAAAATAATAAAAGCATTATTTTCGTAAATTTTGTCTACGTTTTTTCCTAGTTATCAATAAATTAAAAGATTACCTGCTCAAAGTACTAACTAGACAAAATTCCCTTTGAGAAAATGTTTTATACTTGATACATCAGAGCAAGATTTCTGATAGAATTTTTGTGCACAGTATACTTCAATAAAAAAAATAACAATAATAAATAAACATCATCGTATAACCCATATAATACACTCCTATGTAATACATTCCTTACCCCACTAAGAATCTAAAATATACCTATGTCTTATAAAAAGTTAATTAATTAACAATCAGATTGCTGGATCTCTGGTTCTCCGTCAGGACACGATGCGTCCCGTATAAGGAAAATCATAAATCTTTCGGAATGACTTTCTACTATTAATAATAATATCTGTGTTCTATGATATACTAATGTCGATATTTTAAAACAATCGATTTCCGCATACAAATATCGCGCGTTGTCAGATAAGTTTAAATACGTAAGTAACTATATTCTGTATATTTTGATAATATTACGGCTATTTTTTTTTACGGAACATTCTACTCGCGTATTGTTTACCGCGATTCGACATTTTAACCTCGGATAGGTATGACAAAGTAAACAGGTATTTTATAGATGTAGACAGTAATGTATAGATAGCATCACTCTCCCCCCCCCCTCGATACACGTGCACATGACAAATTTTCGCGAAATCCCAAAAAGACCAGACAGACGATAAAAACGGATAAGGATGAAAAATTATATTTAAATACGGCCGTCGGGGGCGTTAGAGCTCTACTCGTATTCTGTGATATCTAATGATAAACATCATCGTAATCGGTTCGTGTTATTATTGCAGCGGCAGGAGGCGGTGTGACACGTAGAACGGTCAGGAGGCAACGGGAGTTTTTGACCGACGGATACGATCGGGCAGCAGTCACGAGTACGTATGGATTGAAATTAATAGTTAATACTGTCAAAATTATTTTTTTTTTTTTATATTCTTATAGGTAATGACGTTTGTCCAGAAAGAAACGGACGGTACCCGTCGGGTAACCAATGTGACAAGTGAGTTTGGAACAAAACAAAAAACATTCATAACCATCATAATAATTTACTATCGATATTATGAGCCCACTTCCCTGCAGTACCTGTATTTGTTTTGCATTCCATTCCATTTGATTTGATTACACCATTTGCATTATTGCTACAGTCACTACAAAGTGAAAACATTCAAAAATATTCACCCTGTACCTTCGAAAAAAAAATCTATTAAAATCGTTCAAACCAAATTCATACAATAAAAGAAAAATATAATAACAACACAAATCCTTTCATTGCTTTTAACATTGTACTAATCAAATTAAAACATAAATTAGTATTGGCGACGGGTGGTTAAATGTTTTATTTATTTCAATCGTATACTAAAACTTAAAGACCAAAACAAAAAAGTAAAAAATCCCGATAAAATCCTATGGCCTTAACTTTAGATGAAAAACCTTGTTATCAGATAAAGGTGTCAAAGCAAAATCTTGCCACTATATGTGACCCAACGGACTATTGTTATCTGTATATTTTTAACCACAACTTCTTGCAGTCCACACATGATTGTAATACATTTTTAAATAATTATTTTATGAGTATTAATAGATTATTAAATAGATAGTAAATGGTTTAATTAGAAAATAGAATATTGTGTTTAACATTTAGTTTTTAAAACTTGACTAGATATTATAGTTTGTATTATACATATTATATAATATTCATTATTCGTTAACTAACATTATCGCCTATAGATAAAAAAAATCCCAAGCGAAATTATAAAACACATAAAATAAATTATAAATACACATTATAATCAGCAAAATATTGAGTTATATAGTTATCATCTGAATAAACATGATTTAAAGTTAAACTCAACCTGTCAATCGCTCGTATCAATAATTCACACCGGGATTGTAATTAAACTGCCTATATTATTCCTTAATATATATTTTTAGTACAGCCACGGTCATTTAAATCAAATACGAACCTATACTTTCTTATATTTTCTACTTTCTTTATTTGATACGTAATAACACTATTTGCAATACATGATAAATACAAATTTAACATTTTGTGGAATTACCAAGAAATAATAATCCCCTTACAGCCTGACCCCTAGTATATCCTATCACGATTTTACAATATTATAATAATAATAAACAGAAATAAAATTCCAATTACATTTTGTATGCATGTTTTATAGTACTAAATATTTATGACTACAATATATAATATTTACAACAATTCAATTAGGTAAATCGAAAAAAAAAATCAATACAAAAATACAAAGTAAAAACTAAAAAAAAAAAAATGTTTACACAATTAAGTTTTGATTAAAGATTAATATTGATTAAATTATACAATTCGTGTTTTGTTAACATAACTATGTATTATTTTTACAAAATTAATACTTTCAAAATATGATCAGAAGATGGCTATCTTGAAAATTTAAAAGCTAAATTGCATTAGAAAAATTGTTTTCCAACACTCATCCGCCTAAGCATTGCTCTGCTACAATCATTACACTGTTCTATTTATAATTAAAATTAGCTTTTAATAGTTTTATCACTTTTACGAATCACTAAGTCCGTCAGGTTGATAAACAAAAGATTTCGAAAAAGCGATCAATTTGATTTTGTTCGCATGGTGACATGTGCATAAAAGTGATGACGGGCGTTGTTACAGGGGGGCCATATGGAATCACACTCATTCAGTTATTACACGTGACTCATGCACACACTATAAACAAATCGCCATAAAATTGCCTATACTAAACTCCTTAAATCCGGGCTGTTTCAAATCCCCTTAAATAGTTCAAATAAACTTTCAATCACGTTACATGGGAAATTAAATTAATTTTACTTTACGGCTGCTGTCATATTTTTGTTATACACTTTAATCTATGAATACTATATAAATACTAATACATAATTTACCAGGTACTTACAATGCGAAAACGGCATACCCTCAGAAAAGTTATGCCCCGACGGACTATTCTTTAACTCTAAAGCGTCGATATTTTCTTACCCGTGTCAATATCCACCAGAAGTAGATTGTGAGGGCAGAACTCAATTACGTAAGTTATTTATGATGACTATAATAATAAGACTTCCGTTTACGGTATTCGTGATTCTCGAGTCGATGTAGTATAATGCGAGTAGGTATAAACTATACAGGTATCCTACGCAATACAAATTTAATTTAAAACGGTTTATTATTATTATTTGTGTTATTTATTTTGGTGAATCTGCAGCGACCTACGTTCTTATACTCTTCTCCGCGATATTTCTAAATATATTTTTCACTGACAGAAAATTATTGTTTAATCCTTTTCCAGAACCACCGCAGCCCACCAGTGACTGTCCGAGGCAGTTCGGTTACTTTCGATTAGGCGACGAGACGAAATGTGGTCAGTTCCTGAACTGCGTAAATGGTATCGGATACAAATTCGACTGCCCTGAAGGATTGGCGTTTAACGAACTGACGTTCAGATGCGATTGGCCGGACCAGGTAGACACATGCGACGCAGAAGGTGAATTATTACACTTGTACACTTATGGTTGTTTATCCGCCACCGACCGATAATATTCAATAACAAAATCGATTTATGAATCGTCAACATTCAGCGAGTCATTCATTTTCGTACAGACCATATTATCATTTAAATTCCCGGCGAAAACATGGAATGGACGGGCCACAGGCGTAAAAATTAAAAACTCGTACCTACACTCAAATCCACCATAAATATGCACAAATATTATAGGCTATAGTTATTATAAACTACGGTTTTTCGTTTACACGTATTAACAGTGTACCGAATTTTGAGAATTATTTGCAGATTTCAAATCTCGATAAAACGATAATTGGTTCGTTCAGTGTGCGTATAGACGATAACAAAAAATAAATTCTGTATAGTTACATTCCATTCGTATTTGAAATAGAAACATTACATAATAAAAACACGAGACGTTATGAAACGATTTCGTGCTCAGGCATATCTATATAATCATCATAAATGTATAATATTATGTATCATTCGATTATATTTATTTGCACAATAACTCACAATCACCAATTTATAATACATATAATTGTGCACTATGTGCGTATATATTTATTAAAAGACCTCTCATAAGCACGTAATAAATAAAAATATATTATAATATTATAATGACTTCAAAACCGACTAGAACGCATTTTGTATGAAATGTACCAACAGAAACGTTCACAGGTAGATAGAAAAAATAGAAGCGTAAAACTTTGATGATTTTGTTATTTACAGCATTTCTAGGATTTAGGTGTCCGCCAGAAGAAAACCCATTGGATGGTCACAAACTCTATCCAAATACAGTTGATTGTCAAAAGTTTTACCTGTGTGTCAGCGGTAGACCTAGACTATATAACTGTGGAACTGGGCTTGGATTCAGCGAACTCATTGGCGCTTGCGACATTAGGGAAAACGTGACTTCATGGTGAGTATCACATTTTATTTTTTAATCTATAGATTCTTAAAAGAAGACTTTCTAATACAATTATATTTAGGGCGTTTTTAATACATTTATCTCTTATCAGTTAGGTACCTAATCAAAAATAATATTAATATAGGCCCCTAAATATAACAAAATATAATCGTAATCGAGGTCTTGACTAAAGTCAGTTTGAACTAAATATATTAAATATAACTTACTATCAGTAAGTTATATTTAGTAAGTCTCCTAGAGGGGGCCATTTATCACAGTCTAATAAAAGTCTGAAGTCAGCATTTTTGTTAATTTTTAACTTTTGAGTATTGGAAAAAATACGAAAAAGTTTCATATTACCCTCATAGTCGAAAAATCCGTGGTCAAATTTTTAATTTTCTCATTTTACGACTGATTTTTTCGACGATTTTTAACATTTAAAATAAAATATACAATTTAAATGCCACACACACGCAATCAAATATGTACATACCTAGTTCTTTGTAAATAAATAAATTTTAAATATATATGCAATATTTAAGTAAAATGACAATAATTTATCTTTTCCTCGACAATTTGGTAAGTTTGCCCCAGCCTATTAATTATTTAAATTACACCACTAAAATAAGTAAAACACTATGAATTAAATATCTTAAAAACTTATAAATGTGGATCATTCGATAAAAATCGTAAGAATAGTAAAAAATATACTTAAATTTTATTCAGAATTGTACTTATTGAACATAAAAGAATCTATTTAAATATTTCATGATAATCCAAACGTATCAATAACTTCATTAAAATCCGGTTTATATGGCATCTTCACAACTCATTCGTTTTAAATTTCCTATAATCTTTTTTTTTTATCTGTAGAATATCTTAAATCGTAATCTTGTTTTAATTATCTTCACCTGCAAAATTATAAACAAACATAAAGTGTCTACAAATGTGAGGGTACAAATAAAATACTCGTAATACCACAACAAGTTATTATTTAACTAGAGACTAATTTAAATAATTTTTCATTGTTTTAGTTACTCGAGGACACCGGACAATTTCCTTCGACTTGGCTAATAAAGAATAATTAAAAAAGTGTAAATCAACAAATGTTAATGGAAGTTACCTATTACAATACCTATCTATTACTTCGAAAACGTGCAAAACAGACAAATGCAATCGCTAGAATGTGACAGACTCTATTACCAACATTTTTAAACTTCTCGTAATTGATTAAACTTCAGCTTACTATGTTTACATATTTATTTTATTAAAATTTAGTCTCTGCCATTTCTTTATCAACTTTTTAGAAGTTACCGTCATTACCGACTAATAGTCTAATATTTATATTTTAGTTATGATTATTATATTGTATAATTATTACGGAGCATTAGGTTATATTAATATTATTTGTATTATTATAAAAAAAAAATTAAAATAAAACACCAGTTAAATATTTTTGGTATGTATTGTGTTGCACATAATGTACAATAACCATACAATATATATATATATCTGTGGCTTGGTGCAAGAAAGGCCAATAACAAAATAAATTTTTTTTTTAGATAAATTGAAAATTGGAAGTTCAAAAAATTAAATTTATCAACGAAAATTTCAAAAATCTAGTATGAAACTTATAATTATTTTAATACTATTTTGTACATTAAATATGTTTTCAAAAAAAAAAATCATTATAGTGTGTTTTCTAACCACATTATTTTTAGCCGGAAAGGGTCACAACCAGTTCGCCAGAACCGTGGTAATCAACGAATGTTCGAGAATAGTTTAACCCGCAACGTTCTCTGTTTAGCGTCGAGTTCGCTACCGTAGCCAAAATTTGGATCGTTCGAAAGTATATGGTTTGCATAGGTTACCTTATTTTAATAGTTAAAAAAAAAACCACCAGTTAGATATTTTTTTTTTTTTTTTTTTTTTTTTTTTTTTGTGGTACCGAAGCAAGCCGACAATAGTATTCATTATTTTTGAAAATAATATATTTCTGTTCTACAAAATAAGTGGGAAAAAATTAGATTCTAGTGATTAAGCTCTGCTGCGCACGTATGTTTTATTTTACCTATATATTTAAATATCTTTATATTTGATATTATAAAATTGTTAGATTTAATTTAATATTTGTTATATTTACATCTGATTTAAAACAAAAATTATTTAAGATTTGTCCCATATATTCTGCCATTCTGGTATCATTTCAGGCAAATCGGACCCCCGGAATACCTCCAACAGTACGATAATCCTATGACTGTCATATCCTTTATCATACAATGTATCGTATAATACAGGTAAGGATATCCTAGGAAATCCATACCCATGGTTTATACTATAGGCAGAGAGGGGAGGTAAGTAAAGCAAGTGCACTAGGATAGCACAAAGTTAGTACTTTCCCACTTTTTCCCAGTAGTTAGTATTTTGAGTTCGTTAGTCACAATTATTGAAAGAATAAAATTTAATATTTTATCAATAAAAAACTTATTGTAATTTTATGGTCACAGACTCAGTGCATAATATACCTACTGGTAATGACCAGGTTTCTAAAAAGATAACACTGGTGAAATTAGTGTGGAACACTGAAAGTTATAGTCCGATAAACTGATAACAAAAATGCTATTTTTAAAAATTTTCACAAAAATAGACTACTATCTTTATAGATACGTTAATAACATAATATAATATCACTATAATAGTTCGAACATTCAGTGTTTAAAAGCAACGACAACAAGTTCACGACTCAACTTTTTTGACTCAATATTTTTATTTTAATAAGTTTATTTATTTTACTTGAGTTGTTATTCATACAATTTAATATTTTAAAAGTCTGTGACAAATAAACGGAAGCGTTGAAGTGGTTTTTAATACAGAACAATTTTGAAAACAAATAAAGAAAATTAAGAAAATTTGATTAGATAAACTGTAGAATTAGATACTTATTTCAAAATAAAGGTAAGTTTAAATACTTACAGAATTTAATAAATATTAGTATTATTGTAATTTCACAAATACCCAATTGTTTTATAGTGTTGTAAATTAGTAAATTACCAACCCCATTGTTTAACTAATTATAATCCCAATAAATGGGAAAAAAATTAGGAAAAATTGGAAAATGTACGAAATGTAGGTATTAGTAAAAAAATATTCTGGCCTTTTTTTTCCAGTAAACAACTTTTCTACCAGATATTTTTCTCCAATTTACAATGATAAAATTTTTTCTGAAAGAAAATCCGACTGACGTGGTACTTTAAAGAGGTTATTTTTTGGTTTTCCCAGGAGTTTTCCCGATAAATGAGAAAAACCGGGAAAAAAAGAGGAAAGACAGGACATAGGTAAAATTTTAAACAAATATTATTAAACAAAATAAATAATGCATATGTAATTATTTTACCATAATATGACATATATATTATTAACAAAGCAATACTATTAACCGAACACCACTCAGAATCATTTTTTGTTAGTAATGTTTAATCGTTGCGTATACATGTGCATTCAATTTCCCCTCTACCTTCTCAACTTTTCACATACATCACTGGCCTCACCTGCGAAATATGTCCATCTTCTTTTATTAAAAATATGTGTAAAATAGCTGCGGATAATGGGGACGGAATGCAACCACTATTACAGGTGAGTAGATTGGAAAGTAGTAAGAGAGGAAATTTAATGTATATCTGTAAGTAACGATAAGCCATTGCTAAATATATTATATAGCTATAATATAAATATGCTGTTTTACACGTCATATTATGGTAAAATAATTACATATGCATTAAACGTTTTCTCTAATAATATTTGTTTAATATTATACTTATTTTCCCGTTTTTCCTACATTGTTTCCTGGTTTTCTTCGATTTTTCCAATTTATTGGGAAAACTCCGAGAAAATCATAAAATGACTGCACCTCCTTAGTCAGATTTCCTTTTAGAAAAAGTGCTATCATTGTAAATCGGAGAAAAATTGCCGGTAGAAAATTTGTCCACAGAAATTAAAATAAATAAAAAATGAACATCATTGTAAACCAATACATTCCTCGTGCCACTCAGAATCTGAAATATAAGAGTAAAGTATTTATGATATGAATATCATCGGACTAAGAAAGTTAATGCGACCTTATAGCAATCAATTTTTATAGAGGTTGAGATGTAGTAACGCTTAGAAAAATGTTTAATAGGAGCGCCGATAGTAAGTACGGCACTGACTATAAGGAAATAATCATACCCTGCAGTGCATATTTTGACAGGAGATATGTATTTCCTAAGATATTCTTATTCACATAATACGATAGAAGGTAAAAATATTGATAGGAAACATATTACTAGTCAATTTTGACCAGAGGTACGATTTTCGTATAGTATAATCATACAATATACATGTGTATATTTTAACGGAGGTATGGATTTTCTGAAATAATCATACCCGTATTTTATGATAAATTGAAAAATGAATTGTCGATTACGTATTCATATTCAATTTTGAGCGGAGGTAGGAAGTCTTTTGATAGAAAAGTTGTCCATAGAAAAAAAAAATTAAAAACATCTTTGTAAAACCATAAATTCTTCGCTCCACTCAAAATCTAAAATGTTAATATTGTGTTACATTCGCAAATAATCTTTAACGTGTTGAATATTTTATAACCCCTAAAATATACTTTTTCAAAATAAATTTTTGTCATTGAATTCTATGATTCATGAATCATAAATATCGTAGTCACATTTAATTTTTATTTTAACTATAAAAAAACGCAAAATGATAAAAAACCTACCTTTACTAATTAATGTTACTACGCACACACCTAAACGTTCACTACATAATTTGACGAAACAAAACACAATAAAAATCGAAGAGACGCAATACCTACCCGATAATTTTCCACGAAAATGAAAGGCTGGAAAATACAAAGAGATTTGGTAAATAATTGTGAGAAAAAAGAGGAAATAATTAATATTTTCAAAGAGTTCCTACATTCCAGGAAGCAATATAACAGATTGCATATATTTTTTAATGTATTTGTCTTTACATAAAATTGATATTTATGTTATAAAGAGGGAGGTACTTTCTTATCACCATTATATTCAACAACTGTAATGAGTAATGTGATGTTATCCATAATCCATCATGGACGACTTATGGATGTCCACAACTTATAATAAATCTCCTATCAAATTTTCAAACATTTCTATTAAGTCTAACAATTTATCTACAGAATACCTACTAAATAAAAATTAGGTAAAAAACTTGCAAAATTAAAATACATGTAAATAGCTCAAAAATTACTCGAATTTTCTGAAAATGTTACAACGTCTAGAAAAAATAAATATAAGTTTCTTGTCAACATTTTCAGTTTCTACAAATATTTTTAATCGAATTACTTAAAAAAAAGGACGGACATGGGTGCAGCCACTGTTGTACGTGGAAAGTTGGGAAGGAAGGATACAGACGAGATTTAAATGTATATCTATTAGCAATGGTAAACCATTACTAACGAAAAAACGTTTCTGAGCGGAGTTCAGTTGATATTGTTGCTTTGTCAACAATACAATATGTGGTATATATCATATTATGGTAAAATGATTACAACAATGTGCGTTTCCATGATAACAATGATTGTTTAAAATAGATTAAATAATAAAAACTTAATAATAACAAAAAATATAAATAAAAACATTTGCTAATGACAACCTTATTTTTTAATCTTTTAATTTTTTTAACCTAAAGACCGAGGTTTTCCTCATTATCTCGAATATTAAAGAAAATTTAAAAAAATTACCTCTCCAAAGGACCACCCAAAAAACATTTCCTTTTAGAAAAGGTGTTATACTTGATAAAAAAAAAAAAAAAAAAAAACCATTGTAAACCAATACATTCCTCGTTCCACTCAGAATCTAAAACAAAATTTAAAATAAGAAAATAATTATTTTCGTACATTTTCTCGTAGTTTCTGATTTTTTTTTCGGTTTTGCGCAATTATTAAAAAAAAAAAAATACAAAGAAAATCAAAAAACGACTACCTTGGTCACCAACAAGATAACAAAGTTCAACATAAAAGATTTCTTGATGTCTTTTCGTTGAAGCAATATTTATGGTAGAAATCGAAATAAAAAATTATTTAAAAAATAGCGTCGGAAATCAAAAAGTTTCTTCGTTAAAGTACAGTCTAGATAACTTGGGTTTTCAAAAAGTTGTTATAAGTAAAAATCGAAGCAATTTTACTAGGAAAAATCGTGTCCATAGACTAGAACAAGAACAAAAAATTATACAGCATTGTAAAACCAATAGCTCCCTCGATACGCTCGGAATCTAAAATTACGTGCTTAAGTTGAAAAGTTTTGAGGATATCTGCCCAACAAAAATGGATAAGGAGGTAAGGCTTCATAAAAAAAAAAAAA